TGAAACTTGCAGTTTTTCACACGCCGCTTGCAAAGAATTGTAATCGCGTGGTACACAAATATGTCCTTTGCAATTGACAAAACTGTCACTGACAAAGCGCCTAAAAAAACGGTCGTTTCGCAGTTTATTGGGAACAATAGTATAATTCTTTAAGTTAAGTTTAGAGACTCGAGAAATTTGTGTTCCTGGTCAGTGTAATATTACTAAATGGTGGTTATAACTTGTGATACAACAATAACAACACTCATCATTGCTCATCAGCAAAACATCTTATTCATCAACTACACGCCTTTTTAGCAAGTTTTAATTTTTAAAAAACTAACTATTAATGAAAAATCAAGGTGCCCACGATCAGCCGGCGCACAAGTTGACCTCTCTTGGCGCACGGCAACACTACCTCAGATTATCTTCGGCGTGAAGTTTACACGGAATGCACCCTGGTAAATTGGTTAACAAGGATAATAATAGGATGTTTCTGAAGGACTCATTCAACACCCTGTAGTTTGTCTTTTGCTGTCAAAGGCAGCATTACTGCCCTGTGGGTAACCTAGTAATATAAATTGAAGCCTGTTTTATATTTTTTCTAGAAGACAGCTGTCTCAGACTCTCAGTCGGATATTTCTGAACGTGGGAATTAATATTTTCATCATTTCATACACACAAAATGAAGAACTTTCAGAATTTCCCAATGAACACATATTTCCCCCCTTACCTCTAGAAATAGCAGACCTCTTTCATAAAAATTGACCGATCAAAATCATCAAATATTCTTCACAATAAAAAGCTAAAAAGTAACTAAAAACCACCATTATCCACGTGAAATATAAAATTTGGCGCCTGCTCGCGGGTTATGCATAACCCGCGAACAGGCATACTGGGCATGTTCAAATTTTAAAAGAATTCCTTAGATCACAGTTTAACCACGGTTAATTTAATAGAACTAACGAAAAATTCGTTGGCTTGAGTGAGATTTGAACTGTTAATATTGCTTTATTATTCTCTAGAACTTAAGTGACGTACATAATAAGAACCTACTGTATTTATACCGTTTACATGCATGATTAGCATAAATGTTAATATAACCTATCAACAGAACTCGCATCTTTCGGTATATATAGAGGCATCAACTAATTCGCTGACCTCAGAATGACATTTCGTCAAAACTTTTCTTCAAGATTGGTTTAGAAACAAATTTGGCATAGGGTTAGGTCAGGGTTAGGTCAGGGTTAGGATAAGGATTAGGCATGGAGGAGGGTGGGAAAGGAGGAGGGTGGGAAAGGGGGGGGTATAGATCACGATTCACAACGAAAAAAAAAGCCGTATCACGATTCACGTGACTTAAAAAGGCAATTTCACAGAAAACTAGATTCTAATAAAATAATATAATAATAGGTTTATTAAGAGTATGTTTACTGCATGGTACAGTATCTACACTTTAAGTTCTCTCACTTCTCTACCTGTCGGTTAAAAACTACATCATAACTTACAAGTTTGAGTGACGAGAATGTACGACGACCTCCGCGCGCGTGAGGAACCTTGTCCTCAGCGTGAGGAACCTCGTCCTCAGCGTGAGGAACCTTGTCCTCACCGTGAGGAACCTTGTCCTCACCGTGAGGAACCTTGTCCTCACCGTGAGGAACCTCGTCCTCACCGTCAGGAACCTTGTCCTCACCGTCAGGAACCTTGTCCTCACCGTCAGGAACCTTGTCCTCACCGTCAGGAACCTTGTCCTCACCGGCAGGAACTTTGTCCTTACCGTCAGGAACCTTGTCTTCAGCGTCAGGAACCTTGTCCTCACCGTCAGGAACCTTGTCCTCACCGTCAGGGACCTTGTCCTCACCGTCAGGAACCTTGTCCTCACCTACCACTGTACCACGCGTTCATGAACATAGCGAATTGATCATAGCTGAACTAGTGATCATAGCTGAACTTAGATATGCCGTTGACTGTCTTCGGCATAACCATTCAACTTGGATGGTTATGCCGTTATTAAATTGTCTTCGGCATAACCACTCAACTTGGATGTTTATGCCGTTGATATTAATTTAATCCTGAAAAAATATTTTGGGAAAAAAAGAATAAATTTCCAAATATTTCTTGGTGGTAAAATACAAAAAATTACTTCGGCGAGAATCGATCCATTACTCATTTGACGTCTGTAGTTTCTACCACTGTACCACGTGTTCCTGAACATAGCGAATTGATCATAGCTGAACTAGTGATCTCAATCCATAAACATTCAACTTAGATGTTTATGCCGTTGAATATATTCGGCATAAACATTCAACTTAGATGTTTATGCGGTTGAATATGTTCGGCATAAACGTACAACTTAGATGTTTATTTATGCCGTTGAATACGTTCGGCATAAACATTCAACTTCGATAGTTATGCCGTTGACTGTCTTCGGCAGAACCACTCAACTTTGATGGTTATACCGTGGACTGTCTTTGGCATAACCATTCCACTTGGATGGTTATGCCGTTGACTGTTTTCGGCATAACATTTCAACTTGGATGATGGCTGTGATAATGGTTGTAACGGTTATGGTGATAATAGCGGTAATGATGATGGTACTTGTTGAATAAAAAAAGGTTCGGATTTGACTTCCACTACCTCTCACTGTCTTAGTACGCATCTGATTGGTTAATCGGATAGATCAAATGCATCTGATTGGTTAATCGGATAAATCAAATGCATCTGATTGGTTAATCGGATAAATCAAATGCAACTGATTGGTTAATCGGATAAATCAAACGCATCTAATTGGTTAGATCGAAGTTCCTATTACAGTTACTTCTGGCGTACCGCAGGGCACAGTTCTTGGACCTGTTTTGTTTCTACTGTATATAAACGACTTGGCTGAAGAATTGAAATCTACTGTAAGACTGTTTGCCGATGATGCCCTGCTGTACTGTTTTATTGAAAGTGATGTAGATGCAGATTCTCTCCAGGCTGATTTGTAAATTAGAGGAGTGGCAAGACCGCTGGCAAATGGAGTTTAATTCGACCAAGTGTAAAGTGATGTGCATTACAACTAAAAAGAATATCATAAAGAAACAGTATATGTTCTGTGGCCAAATACTGGAAGAAGTCGAAAGCCATCCATATCTCGGGGTGATGTTTGATAATAAAATGAAATGGTCATCTCATATATCTAACACCACTCGGAAGGCAAATGTCGTATTACATGTTATCAAGCGGAACCTATGGAATTGTCCAAGAGATGTCAAGGAAGTTGCTTATAAAAGTCTTGTAAGACCAACGCTTAAATATGCGTCTACAGCATGGGACCCTTACTATAAGAAAGATGTTGCTGCTGTTGAAAGAGTTCAGAGATCAGCGACACGATTCTGTTTAAAAAATTACGATCGAACAGC